TTTTAAAATATTCACATGTAGAGTAAAAGCCATAACAATATATAATCGTGTGGATAGGTTAGTTTTTAGCAGTGGCTGTGGACTTGCGGTAGCAGTCGCTTTAAGACTTATGTAATTACATTGGCTACGATTCCCTCCTGCGTACTTGGTCATGGAATAAAATATACAGTAAATTAGACATCATTTCAATATATGAGCTCCAATGTTATCATGACTTTGGTTCGTTAGCGCCGGTTTTATACTTATTTTGGCACCCAAATAATGTATACAGAACAATAAAATTTTCGCTTTCCACACGCTCCCCAATTCTTGAATATTCTATGTTTATACCGCCTATATACGTATATATCTCGTGTGTAATTGTTATTGGCGTGCGAGTAATATGAGTTTTCTCATTCATATAAATTAGTCAATTCAAGTGTTTCTCCTAATTAGATATGTGTACAGATACAGATTTTTTTTATAAATTTGACTTTACAATAAAAACCTTGTTTCTTAATTATTGAACCAGCACATTGTGTACTCATAGTTTCATGATCCAATAGACAAGATGGAGATTTCATTTCGAAAAAAAATTCCCAAGTTCATCAGATATGATTCCAAATATTTCTGTAAATTTTCTTATGAATTTTTGCATGAATAATAAAGACACATTTTCAAAAGACCTCACTAAGTTCACTTTACTGTAACAATTTAAGATGAAGTAAAAGTGGTCCAACTTTCTCGAGTACCACTGTTAGGTGAACGAATTGAACTTCAGAGTTCCTAAACCCGAAGGTGTAGTACTACCTGTAGGAAAGAATAATTTATGTGCTACAAAGAATACAAAGTGCTACAAAGAATAATAATCTTCGCCGCTCTCTGGTCCCCAGTCGACATTATTTTGCTTCAAATTTTTTATGAACAATGTTATTCTCAGCAGGCATTCGCTGGTTGGATCAACGTTGAAACAATTACCTACTACGAACATGATATCACAGTGACATGAGGTTTAGAATGGAAATTGAAGCAACGTTATTCTGGAAGCGTCGTACTGACATTATGAAAAGTCAATACGAGGTTTTGTGAATGACGATGCTTCATTTTTCATTCTAAAATTCTTTGAGTCATCCAGCCTAAATCAAGGAGTCAACCGAGTTTTTAATTCCTTTGGCTAGGCCAATTGGATCTTTTTAGAAAATTCGGGGCATTAGGACCCTGTGGTTTAATAAAGATGGTTCGTCCACTACCAGCACTTTGCTCAGTTGTGTTCTATTGGAAGCTTTTTGTTGGCTAAATTGACTTGATTGGAAGCACTTTCTAACTAAATTTGATTTCTGAGCACAGTATAGGAGCTTGATGCTTATACCCTCCTACCAAGGTTCTCAATTGATCCATTCTTTTCCCGATCTCTACGCTTTCGATCCTAACTTCAGGACAGGGATTGCCCCAATCAGGCTTTCACAATCAGATTCCTCCACCACCATAGTTTCTGTGACTAAATCATTATCATTCACTTGCATATTAGCTTCCACAAGATTGCAAGGAGCAGTACAATCACCATCTTGATCTTCTATTGCTGTAGCTCCACGCGTGATGGTCGGGTCAAAACCTGAGCCGGTAAGGCCGCTGGACTCCCCCATGCAGTACCAAAGTCAGCTTATCAGAGAACGAAAACAAAAACCAAAAAGGAAGAAAAAATTTAAAAAAGAGCAAAGAAGACTGACAAACATCTGAGGAAGAAAGCCAGTTGAATATTATGAAGAAACAAACTCAAGATAATAATTTTTTGTAGTAAATATGAAACTTTGGCTCACAATAATTCACCGGTTACTATACTAGAGAACGCAATTAACACACGTGCTTTCGCTGTGAACACAACCGACTCTCTCCCGAAGAGAGGTACGAAAACGTGAAGCAGCGAGTGCCAGATAGTGGGTCATGGTGTAAGATTCGCTCCGCAGGTGCTAAATGCTTTGAAGAGATCTCAAAATAAAAGAAACTTACTTCAATAATGCAAATAAAGTGTATGTGTGGGTTGCCAAATTTAAGAGAGTCTTCGCCGAATGCAACACGAAAATTTGAACTTTTCGCATCTTTAATCACAAAAGTTTCATTTATTACATGATTCGAACTTATAGAATCCAGGATGAAGTATGAGAAATTTTTTGATTTGGAAGCAAACACATACTAAGAAAATACCATGATATGGCTGTAAATGAAATCAATGGATACCACTATAAATCAAGTTATTAAGTATTTTTTGTATTTTTGCTTCATAATGAGGAGAAAGAGAATAGAATAAAAATTTCGAAACTGAAGAAATAGGCCCATGGCCTGTTACCGATTCTTATACTTTTCGTAATTTGATTCACAAGGAATCCGATCTTTTGAACCCGATCTTTCCATATTTACAAAAAATTTAGTAGAGAAATTAGAGAAAAAATGTAGAGAAAAAATTTAGTAGAGAGGACTACCACCTCCTTCTATCGTAGGGGAAGGGGATGTGAGGAAAGCCATAGCTTCCTTCAGGCCGGGTTCAGCGGGTGGCCCGGACGGGCTCCGCCCGGGTCATCTGGTGATCCTGATTTCGCGGAAGGCGGGTGAGGCGGGCGCGAGGCTACTGGTCTCCCTTACCGGGTTCGTCAACCTGGTGATTGGAGGGCGGGTTCCTGAGTTTGCAAGACCGGTGTTCTATGGAGCCACTCTGTGCGCCCTACGGAAAAAAGACGGGGGTATTCGCCCCGTAGCGGTTGGGAACACCTTGCGTCGCTTGGCTACCAAGGTTGGAGCATGGCCATTGTCTCCGTTAATAGGGGAAGCACTACAGCCGGTCCAATTGGGGTTCTCCACCAGGAGTGGGTGCGAGGCTGCTGCTCATGCAGCCCGTGCGTACCTCGGGCGCGCCTCGGGCCGGAGAGTGTTTTTCAAGGTTGACATGGCGAATGCATTCAACAGCCTGCGATGTGACGTGTTCTTGGCTGCTGCGCGGGCGAAAGCGCAGGAAATTTATAGAATGCTGTACCAAGCGTATTCGGAACAGTCCCCTCTATTCTTTGGGGGGCCGAGTTTGGTATCCGCGACCGGCATACAGCAAGGCGATCCTTTTGGCCCTGCTTTATTCTCTTTAGGAATTGACGAGGTGGTACGCCGGGTGAACACAAGCTAGCATCCTAACAGCAGTCAGAGAAAAGTTCGACGTGGGCCCGCTCCTCGCTCGCGTCACAGCTCAGTGACCCTCGGAGTCGGTGTAGGCCACCATCAGAGGCGTTAAGGTCGGGGCCCTGATCATTGACATGAAACCATTCCCTGTTTTAATTAATAAAATCAATTCTTTTTTTTTGTTGGAGTTGTGAGTGTGGGAGGCCTTAAAAAAAAGAGTGTTCAAAGACGCGCAACAAGGATAGTTCCGGGCTTGAAAGGCAAGTCCTATGAGGAAAGATTAAAGATTATGAAGCTTCCGAGCCTAAGTTATCGACGTCTGCGTGGGGACCTCATTGAAGTATACAAGTATATTCATGGCTTATACAAGGTCCCAGAAGGATTACTAGAATTTGAAACAAGAACACCAGGGGCCACGGCTATAAACTAAAAAAACAGCGTTGGAACACATCCATGCGACAACATTTCTTCTCGCTTCGAGTCACCAACATGTGGAACGTGGCCTCTGGTGTTGATTCATGTCTCAAATTCCAGAACTCCTTCTGGGACCTTGTATAATATACTTGTATACATCAATGAGGTCACCACGCAGACGTCGATAACAAAGGCCAACGGTCATCCTTGCGGTTGTCCTGTGGCTTTGTGTCCACCCAGCGTGGACACCCGGAAAAGAAGAAGAAAAGATAACAAAGGCTTGGAAGCTTCATAATCTTTCCTCATAAGGCTTGCAATTTAATCCCGGAACTATCCTTGTTGCGCGTATTTGAACACTCTCGACTGAATTTTCGTTCTTTTATAGTTATGGAGACCACACGGCATTCCCAAACTCTAGGTTTGGACGCACGACAGCGAGACATAACTGCTTCATCGCTTCTGCATCTTGGAACTCGAAAGAGCGTCTGATCAGTCCAAGTCGTTTATTGGCTTTATAAACTTGAGCTTCAATATGCATAGAAAATTTCAACTAATCGTCAACATAAACTCCCAAATCTTTTCTTATTGTTGATTTCGACATCGTCACTCTCTCCTTGCAACCATGTTCTCTTATACTGGAATCTTTATTTTCATTGCATCTCGCATTGTCTCACGCTGTAATCTTGCCAACGTGGATACTTAACACTTGTCAGCATTAAAACGCAGCTACCACATATCAGCCCAGTCAAGTAACCTGTCGAGATCATCTCGAAACTGTACTTTTTGCGACATATTCCTTACTGTATGATAAACTTTAGTATCGTCAGCATGCATCGAGCACACGCTAGACAAAGCTTTTGACAGATCGTTTACAAACGCAACGAATTAAACAGGTCCGAGAACTCTTCCTTGTGGCACGCAGCTGCGCATTCAAGCCCAGTCTGAAACGGTCCCATTAATCCTGACACGTTGATGTCTTTATACTAGAAAATCTCTTATCCATTTGAGTACATTACTATCAATTGCCAGAAACTTCAATTTGCGCAACAATTGCTCATATGGGACACTGTCAAATGCCTTGACAAAATCGAGGTACACAGCATCTACAGGCTCCTTTTCGTCCAGCAGGGAAGTCTAATCGCTCAACGTAGGCCAGATGTACGTGGTGCAGGATCTACAGGCAATAAAGCCATGGTGACAGCCTGATAGGAGATTATTTACAGTCAGACGATCGATCAATCGATCCCTCACAACAGATTCCATTACCTTGCAAACGACACTTGTCAAACTGACATGGCGATAGTTTCCCAGGCAGCTTCTGTCACCTTTTTTGAACAATTCAGTCATTGAGCTTCTTTCTAGTCTGCCGGCAAGATCCTTCGTTTAAATTTTTTTAATGAACTTTCCTGCGAGCGCTGTCCCAGATGTGTCAATAAAAGTCGTACTTCGTTATTCTACTTCTCATATTATTACACTCAGGCCTATTCTTCAAAATGTTTCACTCCGACCGAACTTACTTCTAGACATGAGGTTGTACACCACAAAACACTTGTGTAGAAGGGACGTCCAATCTTATCATCCGACACATGCTAATGAGCCACGAAAAATTGGTTGCCAGGGAAGAAAAATAAGAAATCACTGGCCTACATGGCACCTATTGGTTCCCATAAAGAGCTATCAGATATATGCAGGGAAAAATTAAGTTTAAGAGTTTTGTTTAAGAATGTTTTGTTCTGTTTAAGAATGATAATGTAATTGTATTAAAAATATTACACTAATTTGTCATCCCTTTAGCAAAATCTAGCGATGTGAAGTCAACAAATTGAATTTTACAAGTTTATCAACAATTTAAGAAAGAAATAGCTTTCTTTCACAACCTTGAAGTTTCAGCTAGAACACTCAAAGATAATCTATATAGTGACAACCCTCGTTTTTTCTACTAATAATTCTTTTAAATTTCAAATAAATTTTTTCTGCAAATTCTCATCTACATGCTTATTCTGTATTCACTCAATTAAGATAAGCCTGGTCAATTAAATTCCCTAATTATATTAACAATTGCAGGCCTATATTAATTCTTTAACTTATCTCATGGGCTATTATTACTTGCCTAATCACATTACTGATTTACTCATCAAATGTCACTTGGCTATTGGTTTCGTTAGCGGACATATCACTGAAGGTAATCTTTAGGATATAATTTGGTAATTTAATTTTTGAATTTAGGATATATAAACATTTATGCTCAACTAGTCTCGGCATATTTCAGCAGCCATTATTAAAGTTTGCCTTAATTTGCAGCAGATCACCTGGGCGACGCGATATTATTTTCCACGTGAACGACATTCAGGCGTTGCAGCAGTCCATGCTGATGTTCTTAAAACCGATGGAAGACAAGACCGGCCAGCTGAAGCTTCATCCATTATATGTATACCGCCAAATGTCCCAAAACATGTCTTAAAAGTCCCGCATATCCTAAAATATTTAATGGATGTCCTACAAATCCTAAATTTTTTACATGTTCTAGAGTGTCATACATGTCCTAGGACCTCGAGCACTCCCTACAAACCATGAGCATATCCTACATCTCCTAGAGCATGTCACAAGAGTCATAAAGCATTTCTTACTTGTCCTACATGTTTACGTGCATGTCTTACGTGTGCGAGATCATGTCTTACTTGTCCTAGACCTAGAGCGTTTCCCGCAAGATCTAAAGCAGGTCTTACATGTCTTTGAGAATGTTCTAAATGTCCTGGAGCATGTTTTGCATGTCCTAGAGCATGCCCTACGTGTCCTACATGACTTCCGCCTGCATGTCGTAGACTAGAGCATGCCCCGCATGTTCTACAGGACTTCCTGCATATCCTAGAGCATGCCCTACATGTCATACTGGACTTCCTGCATGTCCTAGAGCATGCCATATGTATCCTGGAGCACTTCCTGCATGTCCTTGCGCATATCCTACATGTCCTGGAGCACTTCCTGCATGTCCTTGCGCATATCCTACATGATCCAACATATTGTACATATTAATCCTTTGGTCTGATCAGGAGGGTGAGTTGAGTGACGTGTGCCTGGTAGTGAGTATCCCAGGACAAGAACTTTCCACGGGTAAGCTCGGCAGGTCTGTCGCCGCCGTACACGCCTGTAGGGTTCACACGCGAGCATCTGTTGTACCACCAGCCACCGCCACCGTTCAACCCCGAACAGCTTCCGGCTGAAGAATCGAGAATGCATTTAATTAATCCGAATTGGACATCAAAGTTAAGTAGCTCTCATTCAAAAGTTACTTCTATAAAATTTGTTAACAGCTCTTGTTATGTTCTTAAGTTTTGATCCTACGTTCATTATTGGTGAGCCCATTTATTTTTATCATTTGTTTTGAAAGGAGGAAGTCAGGACACGGCATTATATCTATAGTTACGACTTTGCAAAATTCAAGACGAGCTAGAAGTTGAATGAAGTTTTTTTCACTGTATCATGATGAGTTTTACTACAGATATTTTGACGATGTTCTGCAGTTTACTTCAGTGAAATGTAATGCGGCAAACAGACACTGATCCTGGTGTCATCTTCCGTCATGTGTGCGTCATAGGACATTATAATAATACTTTTTTCGTTAGTTAGCTGTGTTGATGTTGTGAGTATTTTTAAGCTTTAAATGAAGGTCATGGTCATTTAAAAGAATAAATTAGTATTGCGTTTAGTAAATTACATAAAAATCAAAGAGTGAAATAAGGTCGAATTGTGTCCTGCATATTCATCATTGACGTCGCCATTGATAAAGTACGGAACTTTTAACCCAAGAACTTCACAAAGCCCACTACACTAGCGATCATTACCAGTACCTGATACCTTCACAATCACCTTCCTATCTCATCTTTTCAGTGCCTGCACTCACTCGAGTGCTGGTGTGTGAGAGTATGGGGCATACAGCGAATGTTCATGATTTATTGAACGTTTATGAAATGTGCAGATAAGCCAGCCTAACTCTGCTCGATCTCACCGTCTAAATCACGATCACGATCGATGGTCGAGAACTGCATGCCGTCGTTGTAAGCGAGGGCATCGAAGGCAGAGATGCCCTCGGCGTCGTAGCCGCCGACCCTCAGTGTGTACTCATCACCGCCTTCCACTCTGGTGGATCAAATTACACTCATAATCCTCTATGGAGAACATTGATCTGGATATCATAACGTTTTTTCCGTGTAAAGCTAACATTAGATATATTTAAAATCAGTATTAGTGGTATATTTCAGATTCAAGCGGATCTACAAAAATTAATTCATTAAAAATTTGAGCGAAATTTACCAATGAAAAAACTTCCTGTATAATCAACATTCCCTGTGTACCCTAACACTCCCTCTGTACCACAACACTCCTACTGTACCACAACACTCCTACTGTACCACAACACTCCCACTGTACCACAACACTCCCACTGTACCACAACACTCCCTCTGTACCACAACACTCCCTCTATACCACAACACTCCCTCTGTACCCCAACACTCCCTACGTACCTAGCACCCCCTCTGTACCCCAACACTCGTTCTGTACCCCAACACTCCCTCTGTACCCCAACACTCCCTCTGTACCCCAACACTTCCTCCGTACCCCAACACTCCCTCTGTACCACAACACTCCCTCTGTACCACAACACTCCCTCTGTACCACAACAGTCCATCTGCACCCCAACACTCCCTACGTACCCAACACTCCCTCTAAGCTATAACCACGGGGCATGACTCACCTGAACTCCCGGTAGCGGCTGCTGGTGCGCTCTGCTCCTCGGACGATTTCAGCCCGCAGCTCCTGCGGTTGCGTGGTCGTCAGGAGATGCAAGTTCTCCAGGCCTGATCAGTCGGAGTCGGTATTGTTGAATTTGACAGCTATGTTATTTATGTATGCGTTAAATATAGCCACATTTTATGAAACGAGATCCTTAAGGTTTATTTTCAGAGCCTGTTACGCTCAAATCGAAAATATTAAGACTTTCCAATAAGAGCGGAAATCTACATAATTAAAAATCGCTATTTCACGGTCCATACAAAAGTTTCCTCGCATAGAATTGCACAATAAACGTTATTAAACATAAGCCCAGTGTTACCCAGCCAGTATTCGCCAGTGGGACTGCCGAATCCTTCTTCGTATTCCTTGAAGGTTCGACTGAAGTTGAGTTGAGGCTCCTGCTTCTGGCGCCGCAGGAAGACCGTCCAGCCGCCGCCGTCCGTCGTGTGGTCGCAGTAAACTTGGACGGCAGCGCCGCTGGGGTAGATGGTGTACACGCCCGATGTCTTCTCCGGCCGCTCCGAACAATCCGCGGGAGTGAACAGCACCTGGAAAAGTGAATAATTAACAGAATTGTGTCTTATTTGTGTGGATTCAACATTTTTATTAACTCAATTTGGTCGCCATGTCCTAAAACTTTAATTTCGTCTGAGGAGAATCCGAAAATCGAGTTAATTCAGATTTATTTGGCCGTTCGTGCAAATAGTGTTGGAAGTTTTTTTTTGCATTTTCCTTCTACATCCTTTTATAAATTAATTTATAGCCATAGTTCAAAATTTACAGTACAGGATAGACAAGAAACATTTAAATATTTCAATTATTATTCCTTTGTATATACCGTCGTCTGATCAGGTGTGATGATGCTGGACGGAGAGGTAAGTGGTGGTCCAGGAGGAAGTGGCAGCGGCACCTGGTTGATATATAAAATTTTGAGTTTTCGTTCAAAATTTCAACAATGACATTTATCAATCAGATAAAGGAAAATATATACAGTTAGTTGGTAACCCCGGCATTGACCGAACTCGATATACCCTGTAATTTTATAACATGATATACCGAATCCTGTAAATAATAACAAAAATTAGTTGTGCGAATTAAAGTGGGAACCGTTCAAACCCACTTTTTACATAGAACTCTCATTTGACTTTCGTTTCTAAATGGAGGAAATTTTTATTTTTCCAAATTAAATGTAGATATTGCAATAAGAGAATTAAATTTCATTATATGTTCAAATCATTTACTCCCATTTTGTCACTGTCATATTATTCCACTATAAATAAATTTTCATGTTCAGGTAACATCCCGACAAGTATCCTGTTTACGCGCCCCAGCCGCCCGTACAAAAATGAATTGCCAGGCTTCAAACTCTGTAGAACGTGTAAACTTTGACAAAAGAATATAAAGTGATATATTCTGGAATAATTACTTTGGTTTACCAATACATTGACATTTAAGGTGCAGAAACTACGCTGCCTAGGCTTCAGGTGACCAGACGGGCCCTATAGCTGAAGAATTGAATACTGATACAGTTGCCTGAATAATGGCATTGATTAAGAGAAACGAATCAGAAGTTTACTGTCACATCCAGTGTGGATGCGACGTGAAGTATTCGTAAGATCCCTTTAGTTCTTGACAGAATCGTAGTTAGGAGCAGCGGGACCAGCCCGATATTTGCCTATTCCAGCTGCTGTTGCTGCGAGTGGCTCATCAGCTGCGCTGCGCTTAACCCTCTACCGCCGTATGTCACTCTCCGGGAACATTACTTTAAACTTTAAATATACATAAACTATTGAGTGTAGCAACCTGAGGACGTTCGTACGCAGCGGAGATCATTTTAAAGTTTTCGTACGTGGCCACAACCATCAGTGCAAGTCATTTTGCGCTCACTAGAACGCATCCTTTTTGGGACGTAGGATTGTGACAATATTGCTCCGGTTACTCATGTCAGGCGGTGAAGGTCCCCCTTGAAAATCGAAGAAATTGCGCATTCTGCGTTTATCATCTCTTTTTGTAGGGAAACTGTTACAAGAAGCTGCAGGAAAAGGGAATAAAATATCTGAAATAGTTTTTTCGTGAGGTCTTTTTGAACTTTTACAAAAACATTTTTTACCCGTTGTTTATGAAGGGTTCTTTAATTTAGTCTGAATTTATTTATGATTATTCACGTTAATTGAAATGTTTTAAGCCTTTTTTTTAGCTACGGAGAAGACGTGTCGAACGAAAGCAATTTTATACTCTTGTAGGCTTTAATTTTTGCATTAGACAGTTTTTAAGCTATTATAAAATGACCATTTTATAACAATGTTTACAAATTTATATATTTATATTTAAAAAATGGTACATATAGAACACATTGCAATTAATTCGCATTAATTGCAGTGTGTTTGCACTAGATTTAAAGCTGCAAACATATGACGCGTTCAGTGATCCAAATAACATGGATGTACATCCAATACTTTTTGCAAAAGGCTGTTTTGGATCTTCATTAAATGACCATTTTATATAAATAAATATATCAGAAAAGTACATTTATAGCTTATTATTCGCGTTAAACTGGGTTAAATAGATCTGAAGAAGCATGATATTACCCCACAATACGAGCAATTAGCAATGGGAACGCTTGGACTACAATATCAAGTATTAAAAAAACGTTTTCTTTTTCTCAATATATTTTGTTCATTTGGGTCCTCTGCAGAGAACAATTAAAATTTAATAAGAAAAAACATTTTAAAGATCGATCACCTCCTATGATTTTAAAGCTACACCATTGGGAGATATATCATTTGATTCGTAAAGGCAACATCTAGCGACTCTTGAAGACCATTTCCTGATTTGCACTTGTTTTGGGTTATATATTAAAAAAAACTGTGAGGATGGGGGAGGGGGCAAATGGGGGCAAAATTAAAAAAACTCAAGAAACAATCGGGGAAAAATAAAATAAAAATAAAACTTTTAGAGTAGATATGTATTTGCTTCAAAAGTTGAATGATATTTCTCTTGATGTTGTAGCTCATGCACAAATTGAGTGGGGAAGATAGATTTTATAATGGACCCCCTATTCAATGATTTATATGCATTTCAAGTTTTCTTTAACATTTTTCAAAAAATTCATGGGGGCAAAATGTTTTTTTTAGTGATTTACACATTCATACGAAGTTTCAGAAAGATCGGGCATTTAGTTTAGGTGATAATTTTGAGGTGAACCTCTTAAACTTAGTTCGTGACGAGTAGTATTTTATAATTGTTTACATTCATCATCCTTGTCATAGTTAGACTATTTTCACAGTTTTAGTAAAATTTTACTTCCTCTTGACAGAGAAGCAGATTCTAAATTATCACAGGAAGAGTTCGTGCAGGAAGACTAGGAAACCCCATTTGCGTGACTTGAAGATCGTGTCACGCTATGAATTATTAATTTGCATCTTGAAATTACTCGTTGAATATTCTGAATATTTATGTAGATTTTAATCCCAATTTTTTGCTGATTATTTTTTCTGTACCTTTATTTATATTTATCTGCGGTATATCTGATCCCGCATTTTAACAATGAAGAAGTAAAGAGGGAAATCAAAATACGACGATGTCTCCATTGATGTGTTCCTGCCTGGCTAGTGTTTAGTGACTCTTGAAATTCTACCCACCACATTTAAAAATTATTACACATTGGAGGACTATAGGAGGTCTGTAATAAGAAATTTAAGCGTCTGAAACTACTGTTACAAAATAGTTGAATATTTTACCATCGCTAGAGTAGTGCCAACGCTGGGTGGGGCAAACTCGCCACTTTCTAGGATGCACCGCCGATAAGCCATCAGGTAAACGATCACATTCACAACTGACGACTTCATCTTCTCGGTGCCGCTGGTGTCAGTCCTCAAAACATCCGCAAGTTCCTGAAGTTCCTCGTAAGTTCGTTGTTGCTGCGGGGTAAGCTTATCGATGCTGATATCGCCTTCGCTACGAGCATTGCCGATGACGTTCAGCGCTGTTAAGACGCTGGCAAGACATTGATTAACGGCGCCAGCGGTCGGTGGGCATCGCTGTGCGGCAGTTTGGCCGTGGCCCTCCGACAACAGAAGTACAGTCAACCACAGTATGTGCAGGAAAGCGAGACGACTCCTTGGTGCATACATTTCGCGTTCCTATGTAATTCTTCCGAGTTTCTATAGCCTAATCGCAAGACAAAGCACTTCGAGTCACTGTACCATCAGCCGATGTACTGGCTACGAGAACACAGAACCCTGCACTGAAAGGATGGCATATCCTATGCCCCGCGGTCAGACGTTACCGGATCTGCATTAGAGATAATACTATTATGAGGACAAGTGACATCTCTGAGGACATCTATGCTGCAGCATTGCGATCAAGTTGAAAGTTATGATGTTAATGCTTGTTGAAAAGAAGTGCGAGTGTGGTACTTGAATTCATTGCATGTCACTGACATAGGTCTATTATTTAAAATATGCTGGCTGCTTGTATAAAACTTAAGGTTCCGTAATAAATGAACCGCAGGCTAACAATTAACGAATCCATCAACACCTTCAAGCCATTTTGTACAGTTATCTATCCTAAGTTCGTGACAGCTAGGTGAAGGGCTTATCTCAAGTTAAAGGTTCTGTATAACTCTCGATAAGCTCCAATCTAAACTAATAGCATATTTCCTCTAGGTATAGCATTTTATTCTCATTTAAAGGAGAAATGTTTGTATTAGTGCATGGTGTTCTAACTACGGAACAAACGCACACACTATTTTTCTCTGATCTTGTAACGGAGTTCCAAGTCCTTGTTTCATTAGGTTTAAAGCCAGGCACCGAGATAAAGACACGAAGAAACTATTTTTGGAGTAACGATTCTAAGAAAACTAATCGTTGTTGGTGAATGGGGGACGCAGCCGTAGGCCACAAATTACACTCATAAATAAGCCCTGGAGCCAACGCCCAGCTTCACCATGCATTAATTAACTTTACTCAGCCTCAGAACTAGAAGCCGCGGAGTACGCATAAACTCCGTAATCCAGACAAGCGCCACTCTGCCGAAAAATAATAACGCCCTAGGTTTTCAGCCAATGCTTAGGCATGCTCACTCATAAGCAAGCAGTTCCCCATGCGGCTGTATACCTACTTCTTCCTTGCCTCATGTGGTGGCCTAGCCTATTCACGCTGTCCGGGCTCACAAACTTCTTGCAGCCAATGACTGGCTCTACCAGCACACTTGGACCGCCTTTCTGAATTCTTGACGCCAATGAGGTTAGGTTAGGTCCGCTCAGATTTGTTTCAGGTGGAGAAATATTGAAACTTATGTAGCTTAGGCCGGAAGATGTTTGGCCAAATGCAGTATGGCCATTCTTACTTTTAGCAAGCTTATTATGTGGCCGTGGACATCCGGCGCTATGGCTTTGAGCACTTGACTTCATAGGATGTTATGCCCTCTAGCGTTCTTACCTACGGAAACAAATATGAACCATGTGTGAAGTTTGGCGAAGCTGGCCTCCGGCATGTGCCCAGATGAATGCACACATCCGGGCGGGACAGACAGGATGTTGACGAAACTGACAACTTTTCCTCATAAGCTCCTTTGGTTTCATGTATCACAAAATCCTGTGTTCTGTAGTGATTCGGGAGTATTATTAAAATGAAACAGTATTTTATATATTCTAATGCCTATATTTCGAATATTAAATTCGGATTCGAATATTTAATTCAAATTCGAATATTAATTTCGAATATTAAATTCGAATTTGAATATTGAATTCGAATTTGAATATTGAATTCGAATTTGAATATTGAATTCGAATTCGAACATTGATTTCGAATTCGAATATTACCTGCAAACCCCGACTGTTGTGAACATTAAATATAGTATATAAAATATTTATTGTAAGCCAGTTAATCATGGCCAGTCTTAATATCTATAATATCTGATAATTTTATTATAGTGTTAAGATTTGGTAGTAACAAATATTAGCATTCAGTAATTCACGATAATTCAGGGTACGCAGCGCTAATTTCAAATAAGCTCTATGGCAAGAAAACCGACATGACGCCAGGCCCCATTCGAATTTCTGGCGCGCCAACAAATGAGTGACTAGATCTTTCTCATGCTGCAATCTAGTAAAATACGTAATCCACTGGGTGAGTGTTGAATTTGCTAATTGTTCATGTTTTTTTTGTAGAAGTATATTTGTTTTGTACTTAAAGTCTACCGCTCGATAATTTTGTACATTGATAGTTATGTCCTGTTTAGGAATTTTATGACGACTCACCTTAGCTTATAGGGTTTAGCGTAGTTATGTTGACTGAGATCTTCATTATGCTGAATCTGTTTGTGACACCAAATGAAGTTGAAGTTTTTAATTTCAATCGGTATATCTTTGGCTGAATTAGTGAACTATATTCAATGTTACTTATATTATGACCTTACCTTGTTCACTGGTTTCCTTCGCGCATTTTATTTTACAGTTTACTCAGAACATACTATATCCTATAAGCCATAACCTCCTTATACTTGCACGGATACGATACTTGCCATCTTATACTTGCCATCCTCCTGGCAAGTATCGTATCTTATACTAATACTTGCTATCCTGATACTTGCCTCCTTATACTTACCATCTTTTCATGTCTTCTAACTAAGTCAACCTCCCGCCCAACTACCAGAATAAAGTAGCCTGAAGATTTCTTCTACGCTTTATCATTGCAGCCAATGACAAATGAGTACCTGGCTCTTTCAGGGTGTTGTGTAATGCAAAAATGGTTTTGGCGGGTCAGCGAGCTAGTGATGGTCGTAGAACTAGCAGTGGGCATTATAAGTGCCCGGAAAAACTGACCTATCACCCCTCCCTTACCTATAGTTGCCACTACTAGGATGGGGAATTGACACATATACACATGTTTTATTATCCTACCCCAAATTCCCAGTCAAGCAGCAATGTGGGCAACGAAGTCGATTATGGTGGGTTATGTCATATCGCGAAAGATCCGCCCACTCGATGGTTTGGCAGTCGAGTTTCCCTAGACAATCTTTACAGATACACGGCGAATTTTCGACTGTGGGTTTATCGCTGATGATCGAAGTAAACGAACGTCGCACCGACAACAAATATTTTGGTTCATATAACTTATTTTAGTTCATAACTCGAAAACTGTTAATGATCTCGTGTCAAAATACGATCATTTGTGTAATTGTGTAAAGATCTATAAATAATTCAATATAATTACATGAGTTTTAATTTAGATAATTTATTTCTTTAGAATTGCCTGAAATTTTAAGTTATGAGATACGTCACGACTTATCTATAGTCCATTTGCACTCGAATTTAGAGAGATGTGTATAAGAGACAGGTTATATCCGGGGCAACCTAGGTGAACATGCTTTATTGAGAGTTGGTTGCATTGGTTGCTAGAAAAAAAGGCTCACAGTAGAAAT